CCAGCTGCAGTCCGCACGGTCAGTCCAGTCAGCCAGCACCGCAGCCGCCAGGTAGCGCCCGGGTGCGCAGCATAGGCAGGCAGCTGGCCGAGCCAGCACCCGACTGCCTGGTTCAGCAGACCGGCAGTCCGGTCCAAACCGGTTCAGACCGGCTGGACCGGTTCAGTCAGTATTCTTCAGTTTCAATCCCGGTTCATGATTTCAGTGTCATTTTCAGTTACAATTTCGGGTTCAGTTCAGTTCGGTAAATTAATATCAGTTCAGTTTCGTACTTAACCGGTTTCAGTTATACCGATTAAGTCTGAATATCATGTCAGGTTCAGTAGAGCATGTTAACATAATTAATCAGTTAATTTATCAGTCTGAGCATAGTCAGTAGTAATTGTTTATATTATATTTCAGTTTGATCAGGCATCAGCACTACCTTCAGTTTCACGGATCAGGTGGGGACTCAGACTAAGTACTACATTGATTATAATATCGCTACCATGTTTGAGGTATGTATTATCAGTATCCGCTCGGAATGGTCGTCGGTCCATTCTGGGTTCTAGTGGCCTAATCTGCCCACTAGAGTGTGCACATGGTGTCCGGTATTAGTTTGTGCCGGCAGATTTTGGTATTAGTTTTGTGCCGACAGATGTTCAGTTATCAGTTACGTGACCTATGTCACGAGATCAGTATCAGATTATTCAGTACCGGTATCAGATATCAGTTATCAGTTTTCAGTTTCAGTTCAATTATATATACCAGGATCATGATATTGTTATTATATTCATTGTTTACTTTAGTATGAGTTTCTGCAGAGCACAAGTGTTTTAGTGCTCACGCCCCCACGCATTTCATGTTTTTCAGGTCGCAGGGTCGGGGACGAGGAGTGAGCTGGCGGGCAGTTCAGGATATTTATGGATATGTATATATGTTTTGGCCACGCTGTTATTCCGCTAAAACTTTCAGTACTTTTAAACAGCTTTTGACCCGACTTTAGTCGGTTAATATATTATAACTGTTTTCATTATCAGTTTAAAATTTAACGGTTTTCAGAAAAGTCAAGTTTTTCACGGTAGCATCCCGAATCAATTTTTGCAAAATTAATATTTTATTTATTCATTCAGAAAAATTGCAAAAAACGCGTACTCTGATTTCAGTAAAAAGTCGGGGTGTTACAATTGGTATCAGAGCATGTTTCTGCGTCTCTAAAAAGTTTTTCAGTCAGTAAATTTCAGAAAAACATGAACCGTCATGCTCACGCCTCGCCGACTACAGGTAAGTGCTGATTTAGTTTTCGGTTATAAACATATTACTTTGTCTATGCTCAGAAATCATTTATCAGAACTTAGTTAAGATGCTCGAATCAGATTCAGACTTTAGAATTCAGTATATTCAGATATGACTCTAGAAATTAGTATCTTCAGATATGACTCTAGAGTTCCTCAGGATACATGTCAGTATTTATCGGCTATTTTGGCAACTCATCAAGAGATTTGTGTGCCTTAGTAATCAGTCAGAATATTATCACGTGTTCAATAATTTTGAACTTTCTCAATGTTCAGATGTCGCGCCGTAGGGAACCCGATCACCCGACTCCTACTCAGGCCACAGTAGTCGCACAGTTCCGCGACTATCATACTGAGAAATTCTCCGGGCAGGGAGATCCCCGTATCGTGGACGAGTGGATTCAGGGCCTGGAGTTTATCTTCGAGGTCATGGATTGCCTAGATAGATATCGCGTATTCTGCGCTCAGCTTCAGCTAACCAGTGATGCCCGGCTCTGGTGGAATGCCTACTGGAGCATGCGTCCCGGCGAGAAGGCGGGATGTACATGGGATATGCTCAAGGAGCTGATCCGCGAGAAGTACTACCCCCCTATTACAGAGCAGAGATGGAGCGTCAGTTTCTATCGCTCCAGCAGGGTACTCGTACTGTTGACGAGTACGAGAGGGAGTTCACCAGACTTGCAGGTTTTGTTCCTGACTTGGTTCGCACGGAGGCCCAGAGAGCACAACGCTTCATTGACGGACTTTACCCAACAGTCCGTCATAACATTGTAGGTCACGGGACCCAGGCGTATGCTCGTGCTGTTTCGATTGCCCAGGAGGTGGATGCCAGCATCAGGAGGGAGGCCATCTGTGATCAGTCTCAGCCATCCGCCCCAGTTCAGCCATTCACAGCTCCACCAGCTCTACCAGCTACCCAGCCACCGAAGAACAACAAGAGGAAGGGGAAAGGTGCCCCGATGGACAAGAGGACCCGACGGAGGCTACAACAGATTCCACAGTGCCCCACATGCGGACGACTTCACCGAGGCGAGTGTCGCTTTGGGCAGGATGTATGCTACTATTGTCACGAGCCCGGACACTTTGCTAACCGTTGTCCGAAGAAGGCACAACAGCCCCAGCAGCCTCAGCAGCCTCAGCAGCCACCGCAACAGCAGCAGCCCCGTCAGCAGGCTCAGAGGCCGCCTCAGCAGCAGCAGAGGGGCAGACAGCAGGCCCGAGTTTACGCAGTCGATCAGGCAGAGGCCGAGCAGCAGCCAGGTACTATGTCAGGGATGGTTGTGCTTAATAATGTTCCTGTGTTTGCTTTGTTCGATACTGGAGCTACGCATTCTTTCATTTCACGACGATGTCTTGATGCCATCGGAGTTCATGCCATTACCGATGTCGACCCTCTCGAGGTGAGTTTAGCCTCGGGACGAAAGATAGTGACCTCAGCTAAAGCTTCAGATCTTAGCCTTTACATTGGTGGCCGAGTATTGTCTACCGACGCGTTTGTTCTCGAGATGAGGGACTTCGACCTTATTCTCAAAATGGAATGGCTATCCTTTTATCATGCAGATATCAGATGTCATGACCGGGAGATTACTCTTTATCTTCTGGGAGACGACTCGATCACTTTCTTTGGCTCCAGGAATCGTTCTTTGCCTCATGTTGTTTCGATGGCGAAAGCCACTAAGTTGCTGCGACGAGGCAACTGCCAGGGTTATCTGGTGAGCCTTGTCGATGATTCGCAGAAAGCACGATCACCTCACGACGTTCTTGTTGTTCGTGAGTTTGTGGACGTGTTCCCAGACGAGCTTCCAGGAGGACAGCCTAACCGACAGGTGGAGTTCTCTATCGATCTCATTCCAGGAGCCGGCCCAGTATCAAAAGCCCCGTACCGTATGGCGCCAAAAGAGCTGCAGGAGCTTAAGACTCAGATTCAGGAGCTGTTACGACTCGGTTTCATCCGACCGAGCGTGTAACCTTGGGGAGCACCCGTTCTCTTTGTCAAGAAGAAGGACGGATCCATGCGCATGTGTACCGACTACTGGGATCTTAACCGGTTGACGATCAAGAATAAGTATCCGCTTCCCAGGATCGACGACTTATTTGATCAGTTGAGGGGAGCCTGTGTATTTTCAAAGATTGATTTACGATCAGGCTACCACCAGCTGAAGATTAAAGAGTCAGATATCGCTAAGACCGCTTTCAGGACTCGTTACGGCCATTACGAGTTCGTCGTCATGCCATTCGGTCTCAGCAATGCTCCATCAGTTTTCATGGACCTGATGAACCGTATTTTCCATCCCTACCTCGATTAGTTTGTTATTGTCTTTATTGACGATATTCTTATCTACTCGAAGAGCCAGAAGGAGCACGAGGAGCATCTGAGGGTAGTTCTCGAAACCCTCAGACGAGAAAAGTTGTTTGCCAAATTCTCCAAATGTGAGTTCTGGCTCCAGCGAGTAGCCTTTCTGGGTCATGTTATTACTCAGGCAGGTATTGAGGTGGATCCTTCCAAGGTCTCAGCTGTTTAGAACTGGTTGACACCGAGGAGTCCGTCCGAGGTTCGCAGTTTTCTCGGTCTAGCTGGCTATTACCGCAGGTTTATCGAGGGCTTTTCCAAGATTACCCTCCCTCTATCCCAGCTGACGAGGAAGTCTGTGAGGTTCGAATGGACTGACCGATGTGAGTCGAGCTTTCAAGAGCTCAAGAGGAGATTATCTTCAGCACCGGTGTTGACTATTCCCGATCCTTCTCGGAGTTTCACCATCTTCAGCGATGCTTCGAGACAGGGCTTGGGATGCGTCCTTATGCAGGATGGCTAGGTCGTTTCGTATGCTTCACGTCAGCTTAAGCCACACGAACAGAACTATCCGACGCACGACTTGGAGTTAGCAGCAGTCGTTCATGTTCTCAAGATTTGGCGACATTATCTTTACGGCGGTCATTGTGAGATTTTCACAGATCATAAGAGCTTGCAGTATATTTTTACTCAGAAGGAGCTTTACATGAGACAGCGCCGTTGGCTCGAGCTCGTCAAGGATTACGATTGCTCAATTCAGTATCATCCGGGAAAGGTGAACGTCGTTGCGGATGCCTTAAGCCGAAAGGTGAGGGATGACTTGACGTACGTCGTTACTCAACAGAGTCCATTGATTCAGGAGTTTGTCTGGATGCAGCTTCAGGCGATCGATGCACTTCCCACAGCCATTTCGGGGAGTGTCAGTGTCAGTGCTATGCAGCTCCAGCTGACGCTGAGAGAGAGAATCCAGCGGGAACAGGCTTCTGACGAGTTCATTCGTGTCATGGATGCCAAAGTTCACGCCGGAGGCGTCGAGGGTTTTCAGCTAGATGCCGATGGTGCCCTAGAGTTCAGAGGCAGGATCGTGGTCCCGAAAGTCGAGGCGTTGTGGAAGGAGATTTTATCAGAGGCTCATACCGCACCCTATCTAGCCCATCCCGGAAGCACGAAAATGTATCATGACCTGAAAGGGTCGTTCTGGTGGCGAGGAATGAAGAAAGATGTCGCCGAGTTCGTCAGGAGATGTTTTACCTGTCAGCAAGTAAAAGCCGAACATCAGAGTCCGATTGGCCTCCTGCAGCCACTACCGATTCCGAGGTGGAAGTGGGAGGAAGTCACAATGGATTTCGTTACGGGATTACCGAGGTCGTCTGAACATCACGACACTATTTGGGTCGTGGTCGACAGATTGACTAGGTAGCGCATTTCTTACTCGTTTCGATAAAGATGTCTTTGGATAAGTTGGCTGAGATATATACCCGTGGGATCATCCGACTCCACGGAGTGCCCGTTACTATAGTATCAGACAGAGATCCCAGATTCGTCAGTCGATTCTGGCACAGTTTACACGAGGCGATGGGCACGAAGTTAGAGTTCAGTTCAGCCAACCATCCGGTGACAGATGGTCAGTCAGAGAGGACCATTTAGACGCTTGAGGATATGCTTCGCGCTTTGGTTGTTGACAGGGGTGCTAAGTGGGAGTCGTTGTTGCCGTATGCCGAGTTCGCGTACAACAACAGCTATCATTCTTCCATTCAGATGCCTCCTTACGAGGCACTTTACGGTCGCAAGTGTCGTTCCCCTCTTTATTGGGACGACGTCGGAGAGCGACGAGTACTCGGTCCTAAGTTGATCGAGGAGACTGCTGATTATGTCGAGTTGATCCGGCAGAGACTCAAGACAGCTCAGAGTCGACAGAAATCTTCAGCCGATCATCTCAACGAGACATTCAATTCGAGGTTGGCGAGCCAGCTTTTCTCAGGGTTCGTCCTATTCGCGGAGTTGTTCGATTCGGAAGAGAGGGAAGCTGCACCCTCGATTCATTGGTCCGTTCGAGGTTCTCGAGCGAGTAGGTGAGGTCGCGTATCGATTAGCCCTACTCCCAAGCTGTCAAGCATTCATAATGTTTTTCACGCATCTATGTTGCGTAAGTACGTGTGCGACCCCGATCATGTCATTCCCCATTCAGATATTCAGGTTCAGCCAGATCTTTCGTACGAGGAGCGACCGGTAGCTGTACTAGACCGTCAGGTTCGTCGGCTCCGGAAGCGAGATGTTCCCCTCATGATTATTCAGTGGGATCGCCACGGAGCTACTTGGGAGGCGGAGTCCGATATTCACGCTCGTTTTCTAGATTTTCAGTTTTGATGTACATATTTTCTTGTTCTATGTACATAGTTCATGTATATTCAGTTATGTTTTGAATTTCCGAGGACGGAAATTTTTAAGGAGGGAGGATTGTAATATCCCATCAGTTTATTAGTATAAATCATGTTTTTAGTTCCGATATATTAATATTGTCGAGTATTAATTTTCGGAATTAATTATTTCAGTCATTTCAGTTAAGATTACCGGAAATTATTTTCGACGTTTCGTTTACATTCGGAATAATTTTGGTAATTAAGCATTATGTTTAATTAAATAATTAAACATGATTAAGTGATTAATTAGCAATTAATCACATATTTAAGTCATTAAACCATACGGATTTTCTTCCAACTTATGTAATTGCCGTAGCTTTCAAACATGGGTAATAATTCTCCTCCTTAAGCTTATACATGGCATTATTTGAGATAATAAGGTGATTAGTCACCTAAGAAGGTTTTATTTTGCCACAAGTGTCATTAGCTACAATCCTCCACCTCCTAACCCATTCGGCCATCACCATATATATATATATGTTATAATTTGGAGAAATTTGGCTTCACTTTCTTCTTAAAATTCAGCATATATATATCCTATATATTAGAGTGTTGAGTGAGTTTAGTGAGGAGATCTTGAGCATCGTCCGCAAGCTAGCAGCACACGCCATCACCGAGAGCACCGCACGCAAGCTAGGAGTACACACGGTCACGCCGAGCTTTAAGTATTTCACGTGTTTAACTCGATCAAGGGAGCAGCTGAGGAGGTATAGTGCTGGATACCTCTTGATTGTATATGTATTAGTGTCATGCAAATCAATTTTCATGTTA